CCCTCTCGAATTGAAATTGCTCTATGGTCTCTACACAGTTTTATTTTCATGATATATGCTTTTAGTCAAAACTTTAATTTAGTCGAGATCATTTTATTATTTGGCTTAATAAATAATAGCCCTAACACATTTAAATTATGTATCATATATATACATGACCCAAATTTTTCCAACAATTATAAGTATCGCACGTTATATAAGAAAAAACAGCTTTTTGAACTCTCTGTACAGGGTGCTACTTCATCTGAATTCTTCAAGCATCCAAAGTTTATCTATTTCCATTTCAGAAAGTTATGATTTTTATCATCTTAAACAGTGGATGTCTGTGATGATAGGTCGGAAAGTCAAAGAGATTTGTATTAATTCAGTCGAACAATTTGAGATCTCCTCACATTCTCCCATTAGGAAATCCCGGTCCTTAGAGAAATTGGTGTTGAGAATGTATGCTTTTCCGGTTCGTCACAGACGGATGGAGGATTATGATATCAGAGCTACAATTCCCACTTTGAATGTTGATTTTTGTCCCTCACTGTCCTCAGGTTGTATGGAATACCAATTACCTGTGTTCCTCCTAACTCCGTCCAAGAGTTGAAGCTAAACTTTCCAGCTCTTAGAAAGTATAAGACAGTTAATTGCACTTGGATAAATGTAAAAAGGATAACTATAGAAATGCCTAAACTTGAAGTGCTTATAATCGAGGATACAAATGTGCTAATGAGTGATGGTTCACTTTTGTGTAATCAACTTATGTGCCTCAAACCTTGTAGAATTCTCCTATAGTGGGCAAATGTCAGATACCACGTCAGTTGCCTTGACTATAAAAGTGTTGCCTCTGCTAATATTTATCCACGCTATTGTTTGAATGGGGCTCCAAAATGCACATTTTGCTTACCAGTTTCTGAGCACATTCAATGATAAAGTGGAACATCTAAGGTTTGAACACCCGCAGGTATGCTTCCTTGCTGCACCTTTTGTGTCCAGGAATGTCAGACAACAATGAAATTTAATAATATAGCATCAATTTCCTTGTTTGAGAATGCTGAAAATTTTTGCCCTACTAATGTTATGTTGAAAGCTAGTAAAATTTTTGTTATTTATCTAGCTGCTATTTATGGCATTATATGAATAGTATATTGAGTGTTACAGTATTAAACCCTCCCATCCTGTTCCTTAGTCACTCAGGTTCTTGCACCAGCAGTAAATTCTATGGTAGGTCTTCCTGAATTTGAAATGTTGACTGATCTGGAGTTAGATAAAATTAGGGTTCATTGTTGTGGTTCTTACTCCTAAAGGCACCATTTATTGAGACTCTTACTTTAAAGGTTAGTGGTTGATTGATTGATTGAAACTCACAGTGACCAAATAATCACTAAATTTATTGTTTTTTCATTATTTGATTCTTGTCTTGTTATATATATTCGATCATCAGGAGCTACTTAGTTTTGAGCATCCTTCCACTCCAAACCTTGTGCCTCCCTGCGTTTCATCTAAACTTGAAGTGGTAAATTTTGGAAGATTTCAAGGTAAAGAGCATGAGCTTCGTTTTGCCAAACTTGTATTTGAAAACGCTCAAGTCTTGAAGTGGGTGAATTTCACATGTCCCCCGGCATCCTATGGTAAAGAACTTAAAGAGAAGATATTGGCATTTGAGAGAAGTGCTAGTGCCGTTATAGAATTTTTATGTATTTATAGTTATTAGGTCGCAGGAACAGTTTTATTCAGAGTGAACATTGCAATTTCATTTCGTACTTGTTATATCTCAGTTTATGTGTCTTAGACATGTTTCTAAAAGCATTGACTTTTAATTTGTAGCTTCAAATTGATTTCGTTTTTGCATTAGTAACATTGATTTCGTACTTGATTGATTTCGTTTTTACATTGGTAACATTGACTCTTAATTTATAGCTTCAAATTTTATTTATATACTGAAGCACAGAAGAATTTATTTCAATACGATTTATATAAGTCATTGAATCAGTTTTTCTTTACTCAAAGGAATTGAATGAAAAAATTGAACGAATGAGGCTTTAATGAAGTCCTACACATTGATAAACTGATTCATCTCGATCTTCTTGAAACGTAATTTAACGAATTGGAATTGAAATGTAAAATGCCATGACACTGTCTTTTGTCTTTTCTTATGCAAAAGATTAATAAATCACTTTTTTACTACTATTGATTTTTTATTTAATACAATTTGGTACAATTAGTAATAAAAGTTTTAATCAAGTTCTTCTATTTTTAATATCATTAGCAGTCAAAAGAGAAAGAAATTACCAGTTGTTAAAAACCGTCACAAAATATATTCTAATTTTCATTTAACATTTTCCTGCAATTTCAAAATGTTACAAACTTCACACTTATTTTATGATTATTTATTATATTTTAATAATTAAAATTTGACACAAAATATATAATGTCCTATATTCATTTAAAACTTTTTAGATATATAAAAAACAGCAAAAAATGATTGAATTACTATTTTTTAATTATTTTATTAATGAATCAAAATTTTAACTATTATTTATAAATTATTTTTTTAATAATTTTATAATTAATACTTAAATTACCTATTATTTTAAATTACTTTAAAAAATATGATAATTGTAATAATAATTATTTCATCATAGTAAAATTAATAATTATTTAAAGTTAACCTATTTATTAAAAATAAAACTTTAAAATACATATACTCTATTTTTCATTTATTTTAATGACATATAAACTATAAATTTGTTTTGCTCTCAACGTGACAAAAATTTTACATATTAGCTATAATATATTTTGTAACTATTTTATAGCTAATATCTTGCTATAATACATTTTGCTACAAATTAGTTATGAAATATTTCATTGCTAAATCAAGTAGCTAATTAGATAGAGATGTATTCTCTCTCAAATTTGTAACAAATTTTGTCGCTAATCTGTTGCTAAGTCCCTAACTAATTTAAGTGATGAAATTTTGTATTTCTCTAGCTAATTGATCTCCTAAATTTTAAGTTAACTTGTAGTTAATCTGTAGCTTAATTCCTCGCAATTTTTCTCTCGCTTAATCCTCGCAATTTTTTATCGTTAATCTATAGTTAATCTCTCGCAATTTTTCTATCGCTAATATGTAGCTAATCCCCGACGCTTTATCTCTAGCTGATCCGGAGTTAATTCCTCGCAATTGTTTCCTCGCTAATATGTGGCTAATACTTCGCAATGTTTCTCTCGCTATTTTGTAGCTAATCCATTACAATTATTTGTCGCTACTATATATCAAAATTATTCTCTCGCTAATCCGTAGTTAATCTCTCACAATTTTATTTGCAACTAATTTTCTAATTGTTATTATTATTATTGGCGTAGTAGATATTCCTGCTTATCAATTTTCAATATAAAAGTATTGTTTAAATATAATAAAAATGATGTTTCAAACAATTAAAATATAACAAAAATAATATTTCAACTAAAATATTTTGTATTAACTAAAAAGTTTTATATCAACACAATAAAAATAGAAACAATTTTGATTCTTTAAAGTACATTTTTATCCTTGTTTCTTTAAAGCAAATAATAATGTTTTTTAAAAAAATTCATTTCTTCTTGCATTTGTTATTGCATGAGTGTCTGCATTATTGCTTGTATCGATTATTTGTGCTTGCATCAATGCTTGCATATCAGTTTGTGTCTCTAACTGTGTTTTCATCTCGCTTTTGGATTTAATCTAACATAAGCAAGCATCAATAACCATATCAACATATGGACTTCTATTATCCTCATTAAGTTCTTCAAAGACAGAAGTTGATACATTATCGATCCATCTTTCCTCACCATGAAGGATCCAATTTGTGTAACCATCCATAAACTCATGGTGATACAAATGCTTTTCCACATTAAATGATACACCCTAATAACAATTCCTAAATTTTCCACATGAGCAAGGAATCCGCCCTGCTATACCATTAACACAATTTCTGAATTCTTCAATTATAATGCAAATTGATTATTTCTATGTAACATCAATCTTCGATCTGGTCTCATTACTCTTGCAGCTGGTTTAACAAAACTAAAAAAGTTATGTTTTCAAGAAAATAAATTATTATTAAGTTTAACAACAACACGTGTTACAAACTTAAATTCTAATGTTCTTTAGAATAAATTCTAATGTTAGATTATGTTTAATTCATCAACATGTTCACATTTTCAACCTGTATTTATCAAGCTTTTGTTATGGTCATGATGTGAAATATTGTAAACCTAAGCAGGTGAATCCATGTGTAACAAAAACTCAATAAAACCTTAATCAAATTAACTACCTTTAAGAAAATACAAATTAAGAAGATATTGTAGAAGATAGATATTGCACTTGTCACTGGTGTTTTTAAATTTGTAATTTCACTTCTGTCCAAGTTAAGAAGCCAAGTTGAGTTAATATTATGGACTACATCTCAAGACCTGATCTTCTGGAAAAAACAAAAACATGAATAGAATTACATTAAATAATTATAATCATGATTTTTATTGTAATAGATAAAAATATTTTATTTTATTTAAGATAGCAATCCCATCTCGCTACTAGATAGGTAAACCATACACTTAATTGCACCCATATACTCGGTACTATACTTTCTTTGGTTGCCATGAAATATCATGACCATTTGCAAGCTCAAACTAACTAAAATCAGAGCTTTGAGTTCCAATATATTCCAGACAATCTGAAAATATGCACATTTAATGACCATCAATTTGCAAGTCAAGGAAATCAAGGAGGTTTGGTTAATATTAATTACTAATGAAACCATATACAATCATAATCATAATGGAACCATGTACAACTATCATTCAATTACAAATTATCTTGACATAACTCATTCCAATCACGATTTCTATTTAAATATTTATTTTTTTAAGATATTGAAACATGAACTCATAGTATTTTCAAACTACAAAATCGACATTAATTTCAATAAATTATAAAAAGATGCTACAAAATGAGAGTCTTAAATAGTATGTTGCTGAATCTCTTTAAAGGAGTTACTATTTTAACTGTCTTTTGTACACTGGATCCAGAACAAGTAAATCGTAGCATGGTAAAGGAAACTTTTTCTATAAAAGTATACAAAAATAGAGCATTGATTAACCAGAGCTAATTAATACAACCATCAATTAGTGGACAGATGGTACAAGGTCTATGAAAGCATACTGCAATTAACTTCAAACAAAGTGCGCAGAGAAAGAGACAGAGCCACATGGATCATGTTAGGACATATACGTAGGTGGCAGCTAAAAGACTTCATAATTTTTCTCAAAACTTAGGTCCCAAGAATTAATTTCAAAGATATGAAAAACCTCACTAGTCATAAAGTAATTAACCTGCATTATTATTATCGAGTTGGTCAGTTCACTTCCTTTCCCTCTTGACAACTTCTCAATACAAATCAACTAAAATACATTTGTGATCACCTCAAGATTATGCAAAAAGACAATCTGATGTAGACATAAATAAACAATGTATATAGTAACTAGTGAGTAAGTGTCCTAAGATTAAAGCTATCAAGCATTTCTGGAATGATTGAAAACAAAATATGAAGGGCAGTGAAGAATAGCATAATTTTGTTATAGGATATGCTGTAATGTTATATGGGAATTATATATGCATGTTCAACATAGATCCTTTATTAAGGTTATTAGTAAGCTTTAGAACTAGCTTCAAATAATTGAGATGTTGTGGCACTTGCATGTCATAAGATGAGTTGAGGTTGCAGTTATTGTTAATAAATAGAGTGTGTGGTTGGTTGTTACCTTGTTTTGTGAATAATCTATAAATAAAATGAATTGGTTCTCTTGTGTTGTCATGTTGTGTTGTGAGTCAATGACCTTAAAATAGAGATGGCTTCTTTCTGCCTACTATGGAGTGTAGCAAAAAGATGGATTAGCTTCTTTGTTCTTTTGTCCACAACTAGGTATCTAAAAGTAAATAAATAATAGATCTTGTTCCTCTAATTTCCCTAGGCACAAAAAATAGACTTCGTTTGTTTCAAGAAACAAAAGAACATGCATTGATCCTTGAATAGGAAAAAACAATTAGAGAAAAGATGATGCATATACACAATGTTGCGGAGAGGAATCGAAGGGATCTGTGACCGTAACAACAATGGTGTTGGAGTTAAGAGATAGGAACTATGTTGGTATTTTTAGGGTTTTATGTATATGTATTTCTGATATATCATGTGTGTATATTTCTATTCATGTACTCTATGAATACATAGAGTAAAAATATTACAAAATATTAAATATTCATAATATCTCAATCATAACCGCCTAAATCAAAATAATAACCTCGATAACTTTTTACCTTCTCTCTTAAAAAGATAATAAAATCTCTTAATACCTAATTTAAATAAAAGATAATAAAGTAATATTCCCAACATTCCTCCTTACTTTAATATCTATTTATTTGAATTTACACTACAAAAAATTTCGATTTACCGAGGATATTTACCGACTGATCTAGAGCCGCCGTAAAATGAGTAATTACCGACGAAAATTACCGACGGATTTAAGATAGTTGTGAAATTTGGTTTATCTGACCGATATATCCGTCGTAAATGAACTATTAATTATCGAGGGATATATCCGTTGGTAAAATAGGAGGAAGTGATTCCTCCCGAAGAGCCTCCAAAATATAACTTATTTTCATTTATATATATATATATATATATATATATTATAGAAATT